GAAATTTCACTAGAATTATTGATTACAACGTCATTTACTTTTAGTTCTTTCACAGTCTCATTGCTTTTACGGCGAGATGTAAGTTCATTAATTGTTTGCAAGCTTTCTTAGAGTTGCCCTCAAATTGCATAAAAGCTTTCGAAAAATAAGATACCTTAGCAGTTTTGATCCTATTATTTATTGAGTTTCGCAGCTTTTTATACTTTGCCCAATCGCATGGATCATTTGACATAAGTTTGTGGATGCCATAAACTTAAACCTAAAATCTGCGATGTTCCCTACTCTGTTTATAACCTGACCAAAAATTATGACCTGATCCTTTAGTTAATATTCTGTTTCAGACCTGCCTTAAAATTAGTCACCTAGTTCAGGCCGATGTTAAGGCATTGTGAAGGGCTTTGTTCATGGTCTTATCGATAATGATGAAAAAGTAGCCTGTTGTCTATTGTTTGTCTTCATACATTTTTTTGGCTGATCAGATCTCTGGTAGATCCTACGTTGGTAGCGTTTATCGTATGCGGTCCCTTGCAGTTTCTGGTTTCTCATTTATGTATTTTCGGACCGTAGGTCTTTTCAGATCCGATACGCTGCGTTTTTAAGCATGGTACTGACCATGCGGTTGAATGTTTAAATGTTCAGGCTGGCCTTGTCCAGCCACATTTATTTTTTTGCTTTTCGAGACACCAATCGTGACACTTTGTCTCCTTGCGCTCCGAAACACGTGATGTGGCAACGCGTGTTTCGGGGCGCAAATGAGTTCAAAGTACGGAACTTGATATATAGTGAACGGGTCACTTTGCAATTTATGTGCGTTGGCTGTTGGGCTGGCGTTACATATCTTCGCTACACAGTGCTGACGAGCCACAAGAAGGGCGAAACAACTGTCCACTGTTGCGATCCTACTTTATCGTTTCTTGTCATGTTGATGTCTCGAAACGTTTTTCACGTCGTATCAGCCTTGCAGTCTATTGTTTGTCTTCATACATTTTTTTGGCTGATCAGATCTCTTGTAGATCCTACGTTGGCAGCACTTATCGTATGCGGTCCCTTGCAGTTTCTGGTTTCTATTTACCCTACCCTGTTTATGACCAAAACGACTGAAAAACCATACCCTTTGGGGCCGCACATACCTATATAGCTCATATAAGGTAGTACCCCCAGGCGGGGGGTACCCCAGAAAATTGGGTGGGGGTGTGCGGCCCACTTCCCAAAACACTAGCCTATTTATGACAAAAATCTTCAATTTTCCCCACCCTATTTATGATCTGACCAAAAATTCGATATCCTATTGACGACCTGACCCTTTCGTCAACACCCTGTTTCAGACCTGCCTTATAATTAGTTACCTAGTTCAGACCGATTGTTAAAGGCATTGTGAAGGGAGTTTATTGATGGTCTTATCGATAATGGTGAAAAAGTAGCTTCTTCTAAAAAAAACGTACCCCATTCAAGACTGGAGTGCTAAAACCATACCCCGTTTATGACCAAAATGGCCAAAATTGATACCCTATAAAATCATAAGGGAGCATCGCTCCCCCTCCCACTGGGGAGATAAACTAGGAGTAATCGTAGATTAATAAGGAGTGTGTTCGATATAGTGGCTGCAGTCTGTCGAGGAATGTCACCATTGCTCTGTGCTTCGATGTGCATGAGGTGTTGACTTCTAGAGAGTAAATTATAAGTAAAGATCTTTGAGATATGACCGTATTAATTCTTTGACTCGGAGAATCGGTAAATATGTGTCGTCACCTCAAATCTTATCATTTGCCGTCACCGAGCTACATAGTTCGGAGGGTGTAAGACTTATTATCTTATTCGAACAAGCACTGATCGTTTTCTGTAGGCTCGGAGGTTTTGTTTCACTTATCACGGACGCAACAGTTGTTCTCTTGTCGTCAAACGCGACCGAGTTGACAACACAGGAGTCGTACAGAAATAAATGTTAGCTACGAGACTCTTGAGTGACACTATGGCTCGCGAAACAGTCTTCACGCTACTTGCTTCAGTTTTAACTAAAACGCACGTGTTTCTTGCGCCACGCACGTGTGTTGAGGACGCCCCTGCCAAGAAAATCTTCGGGGGCCCGAAATGTGACCCACTCACGAAAAATCTCGATTTTTCTCGCAGGGAGAAAGGGAAGGAGTCATGGAGACCAAGACGAAATTAGCATGCGTTCTTGTTACTCTCGAACATAATAATTGCTTAGAAACAGAATGTGAGTATCACACATGATCCCGGGCGCATCATAAATGCTCACGGTGAGGTAACAAGCATTTTAGTGGTTGCTATTAAAACTGCGGAAACATCTTTTTCTTTTCCATTAGTGGCTCTTTACCAATCATTAATCAGGAAGCCAGATAATTTGCCATTATAGTGCGATACCTGACTCATTTGTTGCCAAATTTTTAAGTAAGTGGTCAATTTGTAAATAAGCATTTAAGGATTAAGGATTTGTGCATAGATCAAAACCTCGACGCGAATTGCCAAGTGTCGTGAAGAGAGAGTGGCAAGAGTTTGCCTCTTCCATCAGGTTAATTGATAACAAGGAATTCTTAGTAGGGTGTTGAACACCCAAATACTTGCATTAGACTCATGCAGGAAATCCACAATTAGTGAGACACAAACGTTCTTTTATTGTTATACCTTTGATAGTGTCTATATGTATGAGAACTGATATGGCGTATTGAAGTCATATTGTGATTTTACTGTTAGATGTGGCGGTGGAAGCGTTTGGAACCAACTGATTAATTTACAGATTGAAGCTGATAATCTGAGTTGCAAGCTTCCTCTTTCGAAGACAGCAGTGAATTAGGAATAGATTAAACCAGACAAGCTGCTAAATGTAAACTAGGTATGAAAAGTGTACACCTTCTATTTCTTGTAAACATCGGTAAACCAAGAGAAAATAGCATATCAAAGCACGGATTTTTCATTGCCTCAGACCAAAATAATCAAGAGCGGACATTTTGTAACATTTTGGCCTTCAGTAGATAGGAAAGGATTGTTGTGTATTAGAACAAATACTGGTTAAGTCAATGTACAGCAATAAATATTGTCGTCAGACTGCGTAAGAATAAAGATACAATCTTGAAATATAAAATGCACGTTTAAATGTTCTGCAGAGAAAAATATCAAATTAAAAAGGATTAAATTTCGAGCTGAGAAATAGACTCTCCATGAATTCATAAATATTAATAAGTTATAAGAACGAATACACTGGAGAATCCACAAAACCTGACCCAGGAACAACCTGACGCCTGTTTCTATGAGGTTTCTCTATACGCAGTAGCTCTTTTATATAAATGCCAACGCAAACACAACTAACGCTAAGGCAACTAAACACGATCTGCTTATACTGAAAACAACAATGATCAGTGATGTTTTGTGTTACAGGACAAATCACGAAACAAATGTAGGATTCGAGGTAAAAGTGGAATATATTGGGACAGCACAAAATGGTGCCATAACTGTGAACGGATTTACAAGTGAATCAACACAAATGTTTCGACATAAAGGATTTATCGTTGGCCTTGAGAGTGACATTAGTGACATGTCTTCCTTGTAGGAGTTTCGGCTAGTTGCTCTAGCTTCATCTTTCGTTTCCTTTTTCCACTTAGTTCGCCTGTTTTGGAACCATGTTTTGACTTGAGCTTCGGTTAAGTTGACTTCTAAAGCCAGCTGCGCTCGTTTCTCCTCTGTTACGTAACGCTGTTTGGCGAATTCCTTCTCCATGGTTTGGATTTGATGGGGCGAGAACAGGGGACGTTGTCTCTTCTTTCGCATGGGACGTCTTCGTTTCTTCGGCAAGATGTTTACACCTGAATGAGGAAGTAGCTGGGTTTTATTAGAGATTATTACTGATTTGAAACGATACTCGTGTAAGTTTGGCAAGTTCAAGCTAAGCTAACCGAGCAACTAACCGATCCCTGTACTTTTCAGCGACAGAGCTGAGTTGCTTATGATTGATCAGTGAAAATACTGAAAAATATCCTACTATTTTGAAAACAAAATATCTTTCCTACCATTACACAAAAAAATATACAAGGTACGAGTTTAAATTAAAAGAATTCGCTCAGTTTCGTAGGCTTGTCAATGTCATGGGACAGAAGTTATTCAGTACAAACTCGCTTCAATTACTTTCAAATGTGACAAACATGCACTGTCGGTGGGTGTAAACAGTTTTACAACAGCAAATACGTAGATGTTAAATTTTTTCGTAGCATCATGTTGAGATGAGACTGAAGCACACTATCATGAGCAGAGAAAGAAAAATTGGCCACTTTTTGACGAAAATGGGTAATCATTCGCACGGACAAATCGTATAAACTCTGACATAGTCTTGGCTTCCTCCTGTCAACATCGGGTGAGCTTTTTGACTCTTAATTTCACAGCCACTTGTGTTGCATTGTAAAGCAAGAAAACACCTTATAGGACACTACAAATAGTCTACAGTCGAAATAATACAATACACATTTGTACACACGACCAGAGGCACACACGGCAAGAAGCAAAACATTACATAACTTGGATTTTTACGAAACGAAAGATCACTCATTGACCTGACTGGACTGGTAAGGAAACCAAAACAGAGAGAGCGCTAAAATAGCCCTTTCAGAGGATTGAAGTTAACTTTACACAATTCATTCCACATGTCGTTCAACCTGTGTAAAGCCGTTGGAAAACAGATTACCTCTCCTGACAATTATAGATGGTTACAGTATGTGTTCGCACAGCCTATTCGCGACTTGCTAATCTACAAACGAAAAGTTCGGTGATTAAAATGCAAATTTGCTATGCTAAACCCGTGAATAGAAGTTGTCATTTTGGCGAGAGATCTCTTTAATCTACGTTTCCATAAACACTGCCTGTTTCTGATGTAACTGGTTAACTGAATCCACTTTGTTCCAGTTAACAGGTCATGATCAGTCCAAAGGACGTAGACCGTCATTGCCACTTACAACAGAATGCAGACCGTCAGCGAGAGTTAAACAAGAATTGTAGGTTCACATAGTTGGTATGTGCCAATGGCATTCTATGGTACTGGAAACAAAATCACTGCTATTAAAATACTGTTGATTCACTCACCAATTGGAAAGAGATCGCCACCGTATCCGCAATGATGGCCAAAAGGTGCAAACCCAAAGTCTTGCCAATTCCCACGGAGTGTAAGATGTGACGCACTATCATGAGCGTAGTGATGTACTATGGGCCAAACTACTCGAGGAACAAGCGGACTCAGAGGAACAGAGTAGCTTTTCTCCATTGAGTCATCCCTTACAGAACCAGTGCATTTTTCCACGGTCTCTTCTGGAAGATTTAAAATGCTTCGTATTGAAAACGAGCTATTTGAAACACAGTGTGAAGGATTAACGTGCTGAAAAGGCCAATAATTGCTAGCTCTCGACGCCATCTTGTTAGCGCGATGCGGTTACCTTAGGCGTGTAAAACAATTGCTCCTCTAGAATTAGAAAGGATTCTCTGCACTTGAGTGAAGACATGGTGGCCACGGACTCTTAAATGACGTTGTGCCTGTCACTCACAGTGCACCAATCATGGACTAATCTGAATCATCAACAATATTATGTGACCTGAGATATTTTTGTAATGATTCTTGTTACGGTTTTAATATTACCCGATGTTGCAAAGCATCATTAAACACTCCGTGTTCTTGCCTTCTAAAGATTTAAACCGCCAAGCAATGTTTGGACCTCACTTTTTGACCTCGGATAGCGTCACCACTACATTCGTACAAAAATCTCAATTGCTAGCTTTGATTTCCGTTTCCGGATTACAGCTTCGTCCGGTCGCACGATTAGCTGATTGCTTGAGAGAACTCTGAGTATCCAACACCAACCAGTGATTGCTTTCCCAAAGTTTTGAAAAGTTTGAGTTTCTGATTTAGAAGTTCAAGATTTCGAAAGATTTACCTTAAAATGAGGCAGATGTTTCCTTCCACTAATAGTGTACAACTAGTGCACAAATTACGGATGCAGGGCTAGACAAAAGGTCCATAAGGAAATAACTTACACCAGTGACCACAGTAAGACAAGGGGCAACAAATTACACAGAAATATTTATTTAGATATGGCATCTTTTCTGCGCATTCTGTAGAAATACCGTGTTGCTAGTGTTTTTTTGTTGCGCTTGTTTGTTTTTGCTTCTTCTGTTGTTGTTGTTGTTGCAGGTGCTATAGCGTCTATACTGCTTGACTATTTATATTTGCCGCTGGCCCAATCATCTTAATGCGTGGCTATACAGTTAATGAGTGGCTATGTCAGAGCCTTACTGTGAGTTATATTGTAATCTCTTGAGAGAGAAGAATACCTTTGTTCCTTTATAACTTTTTAAAATTTATCCGAGTGATTAATAACCTGACGTCATTTTCTCTTGATAACTGTCATATACATTTACATTTCCACCTTAAAGTCGTTGACAAGCCGATTACAGTGAAAACCCTAATAAAGAGACCCCAATCAGGCGGACACCCTAGGAGGCGGATGCGAAAAATGGCCCCGAAATTCGTCATATGTTTTCTTTTACAACAAACTCTTATACAGAAAACCCTTCTATTATTTGAACGCGGATATTAAAGTGAAAATAATTTGGTAATTTCAATTGTTAAAAACCTCGGTTAAAGGGAAGCAGTATTGGATTTCGTCTTTGAAAGATTCGATTGAAAAGTTTCATGCCCATGCAGTTATCTGTCAATAAACTCTTGTTTTGACCGCAATCCAATATGGTTTGGACACATCTGAGAGATCCATTGTAGACTGGGTATCTTTATTTTCACAGCCTGCGGGACTTGACTTCAGGATAGCCTGGTTACCACATGGGGGCTTATTACAGAAACTATTGAATATCAATTGTTAAATAACCTCTGTGAAACAGACACTCACCACGGAAGAATCCGATGGCGCCGCCCAATAGAGTTTTCACGGTATAGTTTAAGGTTTGCCATCTATATAACAGAACTGTTTTTTTTTTTTTTAGCTTTTTCTAATGCATAGACCCCCCGTTTTTTTTTGTTTGTTTGTTTTTTTTTGTATTTGTATATTTTTCTTTTCTTTTCTTGTTCTGTGTAGTTATTTAGCTGTCACGTTTTCTTTTTCTTTTATGTATGAGAAAAGTTATTGAACATTGTTAAACTTCAACAGTGCATGTAAGTGTAATGTACGTGTGTTTTAGGTGTATTAATAAAGTGCTTCATTTAAATTTAAAAAAAAAAAAAAAATCTATATAACAGAAAACTTGATTATGTATCATGTCCATTGCTGAAAGGCAACTAATAGCCTTTGACATCTTTCTCAAGAACCCTGTTAACATTGGGATGACGAGTCAAGAGACCGAGAGAGAGTTCATCATAATAAGGTATTGCCGTCTTTTATTTTGCCAGCAAAGCCAGAATGGAAAGATAAACTTTTTGGTCTGTTGGGCGCTATGTTAAAAAAAACTGACGACCAACTAGCTTTTATATGCTTTTTAAGACAGATCACAATTTACGTCATAGGCCTGAAACCTATTATGGAATGCACCTATGCACTTTGCGTGACATTGTTAATTTGTTTTACACTGTGTGGTTACTACAAAGACGTCAAAGCGTTGGCACAGAAGAGATTAAGGTACAACGCAATAACTTGTGGAAGAAAGCATTTAAAAGGTATGGATTTACCTTTAAAAACTAGTAGTAATCAAAGATCATGAGTGCGTTCGACACCGTCTCTTTCATATATATAGTATACCTCAAATGACTTAACTAGCTGACTTTCAACCTCTGTCTGTTGCTAAAATCAACATTTTTCATGAACAACCGAGGTTGTACACAGACAGATATAGTGTCGAAGTCCATGCCAGTGAAGAGGTCCCCTGTATAGACTACGATGGCCGATTTGTTGTTCAAAACGTTGCGTGACGGCGCCAGTTCCCGTAGACTGGCAAAAATAGTAGGCCATCAAAATTTCATGTTTTGACGTAAACTCAGCATGAATTCAAAACGTAAACAAAAGAACGAGCTTAAACTCTGGCCTGTAAGCAATTTTAAAGCTCCCATTCGATTTGCGTTCATGAAAATCTTCTCGTTTGCCCAAAGGGAAATTCGGTTTGATTTGCACAAGTTCATAATTCGGGCTCTGCTTCTATGCCAAGTTTTGTTTGTTATTTTTACTTTACTTTCAATGTCCTGAGACTAAAGGGGACCAGAACAACATAATCATTTACATTCATGTAAAATAAAATGAACTGAACTGTTATTCACTAAGCCGTTTAATTAGCTGAACATTCTTTCTAGGTGTTTGTTAACATACGAACATTCTCTTGTTAAATGTGCGGTTTCTGTTTCCATTCATGTAACCCGCTATAACGAGCTAGACAACTCGGTAAGATGGTTCTGTAACCGCGAATCATGGCCATCTGCCGAGCTTTACAACTCGGTAAGTTAAGTAATATATTTTGCCCACAGAAATCAAAGCCAGCAAAGTGAAACGACACATTTCCTCCATCGATTTACTAGTATTCAGCACAAAGCAGTGTTGGTTTTTGGTCGAAGACAAGACGGTAGACAACAGGCAGCCGAACTGCACCTTTGTGTTTGTCCGAAAAGTCGTATACATTTCGTGAAGACATCGATAAATCTTAGCTACAAGGTCATTTAACGCCATAACTCTAACTTTAAACTTCAAATACCCAACTTGCTGGTAAACAGCAGATGAACACATGGAGACGCGACGAGCACACGGAGACGCGACGAGAATGGGCATGATGTCATTCGCCCCTGAAGAATTTGGGGGGGGGGAGCCAAATTGGTGTCCCCCTGTAGGAGGGGGGTGACTAGGTTTTCAGATCGACGGATTTGGCCTAAAAAAGCGCGCGGATTGTGGATTTTTGCGGTAAATCGAGCGGATTCGCGGATTTTGAAAACACGGTGGATCGTGGATCAGCTGTGAATTTTGGCGCGGATTCCGGATTCTGCCCGTCTTGATGTTCGGATCTTAGGTTCTAAACGAAATTTGGATCATAGATCTTTTTTCAGCCTTGGTCGGTATGTTAATGAGTTCATCCAAATTATTTCTTTTTTCCCAACGAAGCTCATTTAAACTCTTATTGGAATTGTACTGTGTTATAGTCATCAAGCATGTTGCCTTCTTTACTATTTGTGCAAAATTAACAATGGCATTCACGTTTACCAGTTTACCTTTGAACTTTTACACTTCTGTTTCCGGATGTGGTTGTGGTTTTGGATTTGAACAAAATTATTGGCGGGTCGACGGATTTGGCGAAAAAATTGCACGCATCGGCGGATTTGCATACCCCTATTCACCCCCCTCCTATAGAAAGATAGATAGATAGATACACGGGCCTCGAATTTTTATGCATTACGCGATTAGAAATGCGTTCTGTCGGTCGAACGCAACAATGGCTCTTCATCATGTATTCAGATTATGTTACTCCTTTCCGTTGCCTTCGAGCAAATCCGTGTCCCAGTCGCAAATCTGTAGACACTTCCGACAGCTATAAATCTTTTTCTGTTAAACCAGCCGTACCTTGACAGCTGGTAATGACTGCATAGTTTATTTTTAGTAGCAAACCAGACAATCCTTAATATTAAACAGTGCTCAAAGATTAAGGAATTTTATACCTTTTAACAGTATTATAATTTATCTTAGCTCCATTACAAAAGCTAAATCGGCCAGTTGACAGAACGACGATCAAATATGGAAGGGAAAGTAAGCAATTAGGTCTCCGATTTCCAACTTGTGTTACACTGAAAAAACGATGGGCTGATCATGTCACTTCCCGCTCCTGTCATGGTAAGGAATATTTTTGTATCCTTTTGTATATTCTTGTAAATTTAAATACATATTTAGAAAATTGAGTTGAAGCGTGTGAGAACAAGACAAGTACAAGCTACGACTTTTTCTGCAGTTGTTTATCATTCTTTCAAACGATAGCTTTGTAACTCAACAGAAAAATTAACGAAAATGTTCCAATTCGTATTTTTCCTTGATACCCACACTTACATTGTAGTGTTTTAAACGTTATTGCAATTGGTTAAGCTTTTTTATATGTGCAAGCGACAGCAAACACAGTTTTCCGGCGTGTTCAATACACTATTACCATTACTGCTTTAAAAATGCTTTGTTCATCAGGTATTTAACACGCTTTACTAATTACCATGACACTTCTATAAAGTGATTTTGATTTTGCATACTTTACAGTGAGCACGTTTTTAAGCAATCACAGTGCGCGTTGTTTTTTATATTTTGGATTTACACCGACATTCAAGTCTTTGGATGTAAGAGAGCAAGCGCTTTCTATAGTCTATAAGGTGGTTATGGATCTTAACAGTTCCGAACGCTAGATTTTCCTCTGTCACTGTACTATTGGTCAAGAGTGATCTGTTCTATGAAACTGGACATTAAGTGTTACACTTTTTGAGGGGAAATAGGGAAGCCTGGAATTGCCATCACAACTTACTCAACTCTCATACTCAAGAACAGTCTGCTTAGCTACAACGAGCAAAAAATGCTCATTCGGATCGATATAACAATAGCGCAACGGCCAATGTGCCACATTAATGTGGCAAGGTGGCAGCAAGTGATAATGTAGAGAGTGCCTCTTGTGGTTGGACAGATCCAGGGGAGCTGTCGCGGGTGAACCAGTGCAGAATCCATTCAGATCCATCACTCCTAAATTATTTTCCACCTGTAATCAACTTTTTGTCAGGATATCCTTGTCCAGATATATAACAATATTTTGGCGAACCTTACGTCTAAATAACTGTAAACAGCAAAGCCGGCATATTAGTGATAAGCGATGCCAACATTACTGACCCTCGAATAAACAACTGCGTCACAAAGCCAAAGAAACCGCAGCACGATTACAACATGGCGTCTACTGGTCTCCATTCCTCGGCCTTTCATCGTGTCAGTCGTTCAAGTTGTGCTTCAAATAACTCAAACTCGTTTTCAGTACGAAACATTTTGAATCTTTCAGAGGAAAAATCCCTACAGTACGCTCAAAACTTAGATGATGGTTTACCGAGTTGTCCCGTTTTGTTGTACCTTCCGCAACTTCCTCAAGTGCCGTGGCCTATGACGCACTTGTACAATGTTGATTCTCATTGTACAGGCCTCATAAACCGGCAGCAGTTTAGGGGCGCTCAACACGATCACGATCAAAGATCGTTAACGGACAAGAAAATCCATTTAATAGGTGAGTGAGCGAAACTGAACAGGAAAGACACCGAGGGAAGGTCTACTGATCGAGCGAGTTCACTTCAACAAGCTATAGTACATGTACTCGGTTCAATCTTTTAAAAGATCTACCAGTTCCCAATATTAATTTCATCAAATCAATATGCAGAATACAGTCGTAGGTAAATTAAACTTAAAACTCAACTGATGATGGCGAGCGATGTGTGCGTTTGCTGTGACCAAGTCTTGTAGGATAGGCACATAAACACACTTGTCGTTGCTATTATAATTTCGTCATTTCATAATTTCATTAACCCTTTTTTTGTCCTTTGTCAGGAATAAAGTTCCCAAATGTTCAAAACCAATCAAATGTATACCTCTAGAATATTATAATCAGTCGATTTTGATATCAAGCTGATCTGAACTACAGCTTAATAAAGAATTTAATGAATGTTCGAGAGTATTCTTGATTGCGATTTTGTACTGGCATATTATTTACTGTTTGGGAAACAAAGCAGTATTACCTTGTGTTAAGCTAAACGTATGTTTTTTGACTTTAGCTGGCGTCAATGTGTTCCCGAAGAAACGAAGACGTCCCATGCAAAAGAAGAAACAACGTCCCCTGTTCTCGCCGCATCAAATCCAAACCATGGAGAAGGAATTCGCCACACAGCGCTACGTAACTGAGGAGAAGCGAGCGCAGCTGGCTTTAACAGTCAACTTAACCGAAGCTCAAGTCAAAACGTGGTTCCAAAACAGGCGAACTAAGTGGAAAAAAGAGAGAAAAGAGATACAGCAAAACATGAATCAAACGATGAGAGGAAACACTGTCTTTCAAAGCAATTGTGCCGCCTTCGGTTTCGTGTAAACGCATGTAAGTGTAGTGCTAAATATATGACGATGTTTTTAGCTGTTGTTTTGTTAACATTTGGAGACATTTACAAAGTTTATACCGGATGTTTTTCAGTCTATTAATTAGTATTTCCCTATAAAAGTTAACGTTAAGAAACAACGACGTTTCGACCGTTCGACGGTCATTTTCAAGTTGAAAGTAAAATTTTTGTGTGCGCTTTACTTTCGACTTGAAAATGACCGTTGAACGGTCGAAACGTCGTTGTTTCCGAACGTTAACTTTTATAGTGAAGCCGTTTCAAAACATTTTTTGATTCGAATATTAATTAGTACCAGAGTATTCCACGATCATTTCACATTAGTTACTCACCACGCAGAGATCGAAGAGTTAGAACGGTCTTACTCTTTCAACTGTGATTTTGAGTACGACCATGGGATTATTAATAATTGTTGATCGGGTAAGAAATAGCTACTTCAGTGTCACTTTCAACTGCACAGTTGTGCAAGAGTTGTTCAAAATAGCTGTTCAAAATAGCCAGGAAAGGCGATTGGAACTGAAGAGGTTCATTAACGATAATAAAACAAACTACTAGGAGCAGTAAATAGAGTGCAAATTTACTTTTCCGTTCCTCGTAAATTATACACCAAGCACAAAGCCATATTTTCATTATTCCATAATTGTTTTCTGCGTAGTTTGTAACAATGCAACGATATTTTAGGGCACCCGATGTTTTGGCAGTGTTGCTTTTGTCACAAAAACATGATTGCAGGCAATTTATGTTAGTATTGTATTAAACTTGTATTCGTTGAGCACGTGGTTCTAGTTGCAAACATCATGGTTCACTCCATTAATTTCAGTGTACCCAGCTCATGAAGTAATCGCTTAAATTTTGTTTTCAACTAGCTTTAGGAATTGCGAAGCTGTTTTCAACTGTCTGTATAGTGTTCAAATCCCAAAATAAGCATTTGATTCCTGTTTCTATTTCCGGCTGAAAGAAGACAAAAACGGTTTAGTAGCGTTCCACCACGCTGGTTCTTTACAATTTGCGATACTCAACATATTCCTGCTCTCATTTTCTGCGAGATTCTAGCTTGCAGTGTGTAAATAAAACTTGATTACATACAGTTTCGATATAAATGACAATAGCTCAGTAGAATAAAAGATCAATAAAAGAATATGTTGCAAATCACCAGCTGCCTGTTCTTTTAACATTTTGGGACTGTTCTCCAAGATCTTAGCTCGGCTTCAAGTGTTAAAATTGTGTATAAATTACACTTAATTTAAATGACAGCTTGTAGGCATCTAAACACAATTTACAATAGCTCAGCAGAATAAAGGACCAGTAAAGAATATGTATCAGTGTCCTTTTTTATTACTAATCCTTTGGCAATTCTTTGGCAATTTATGATCTGTGAATGCCATAAGCCGAGCCGCAGACAGTTCCTGAGCAGTCAAATATGCTTGTTCCTCCAGGTTTAACATTACCTCTGTCAAGTTTTGTTAGGAAGCTATTATTTTAAAATTCCCTTCGATGTAAATAGATCGGGGACAAAGCTTGGCAGTATTCCATTAGACTCTCAGTTGTGTTATCTGTCTACTCTACAATACACTGGAAACGAATTTTATCCTCTCATTCAAGATTCTCTGCTGTTCAGCCTCGGTATGATTCACAAAATAAATAAATAAATAAATGAAAACGGCAGGACTCCAGCAGGATTAAGTAAGACATTTCAACAAGGATCCTGTAAAACCGCGCGCGATACCACAAGAGAGTATTAAGAGTTTTTCATTTGGTTTGTAGTCGCTGGGAAGCTAGACTGTTCAGCAGTCCCCTATTTTTCCGTGAGATCGTAGACGTCGATCGTTGAGTTCGATGGGCCGCCATCTTGGTCTCTTGATGCGAGCGAAACTGGGGAGAGTACAAAATGCCCTTGGGTAGTGGCGGTGCGGTTAATAGCGTGGGGGTGACGGGGCGGAAAAAATAGGGAGTCTGTAACAGCTTCCCTCTCTCTGGTGTTCGCTGCGTTAGTTGCTCCAGCAACGGCAACACCTGATTGGTCGAAGGGACAATAGA